CGTACGAAGCGTGAAGCGGGCTTGACAAAAGAGAGTAATTTGCCCTACTCGGCGTCGACTTTCGGTGTCAGAAGTGTTTATGGCAAGTGGCGAGGCATGCATTCCTATAATCAACTATCTGCAGCTACTATTCCGGCTTAATATCCAATTCCTGGAAAAGCCAGCTGCACATTTTTGAAGTGATTTTATCCCGGTTATTATATACTATCAACTGCTCTTCATGAATCTTGACCACCCCTCTCGCTACAGTGAGTGTTTCAGGCGGGATGCTTTGATAACGATTGGCTATGTATGGGTTGATCAACAAACCGAGACGCTAAATTTTCTGGTGAGATAGCTCTAGAGGTTACATATTAGCTATGCACAAACCGATGCCAACGATATATTTATCCACACTCGTGCAGAGCACGAAAACTGTAATGTGGTAAGCAACATTGGATACCTGCGGGCAATACTTGAGTATAGGCGCTCAAGCAGATTGTTCGCTGATTAAGCAAGCATCGCTTTGGCACCATCTATACCCCCTTTTCGCTGCTTCATTAAAAGCATGGTCTTTTAGATCCAACAATGATCAAGGTCGTCTTAGACTGCTCAAAGACTCTTCTTGAGAATGCAGAGCGTCAAAACGCTAGACGAACTACGTCACGGTTTTCTTCGAAGAACGATAATGAATCTGTACGTTCGTTGAGAATGACCATCCAATTCCTCATGCTTTGCGCTGTGCAAGTGTCTTCATCAGTGCACTCACCAGTGATCTCATGTCTGTATGAAGCATCTGCAATGCCTCTGCATACTGTAGACTGTATCGACAGTCTGAATAAATATACGACCCCCTTCCGAGGTGCTAGGACTTTCCACAGCTCCCCAGAAGCCAGGATTGTGGTGTTGACAACAACCTTGAGCTGTGGGTTCCATTTATTCCCGCGGGTCTCTCTTCCTTTTGACCTTGGCTCCACTGCCCCAAGTCTCTACAAGATACTATCAGTTTATCCCAGTGGAAGCAAGGCGGTCTACTAGGACTCAACTATTTTCACCCAAGGGGTTTGCTGAGCCACCCTGCATAGAAGCCCAGTCGTTTGTACCTCTTGGCCAGGAAGGAGTGGACATGCAAGTGGCAGATGTTTTGTGTCCAAACAAATACAGCATTTGCAAGCACCACGATGTAATGCGGTATCGGGGTATGACTTTCTTCCTCATCAGGATAGCTGAGGCCTATCGGCAGCGGTGTATTCATAAATCGTTTACTTCCAGAGCTTTTATCCGCCCACACGGCACGTAAGCAGTACTCTTTGTTTTGACGCGGGGGCTTCCGCGTCATCGTAAACAGTAAGAAAGACGCGAAAGATCTCGTTGCACGCCACTATTTTACTTATCCACATTGTCACAACACGCGTTTTTGCGCTTAGACTCCTGATCGGGAGACCACCAGCGCAAGGTTGGCGCTCCGTCAAGTGCAGGGTCAACTTTAGGGCCATCCCAATTCTTCCCACCCTAGAATATATTCTTTCTGTCCTTAATCTTGAACAACTGCGCGCTTAATGGTGACATTATTCATGGCGTCATATAGTGACTTATCCTTGACAACAACTTGCAAAAGTATATATTATGTTATGCCGAAAAGGCACGGCTCCTCACCGATTCAACGCGTCGTCGGTTTGAGTCTCGCCAGGTCAACGCTACAAAATAGTTTATTATGACAACAACTTGCTTAGTAATACCTTTTGTAAACTTCAGAGTTTACTGGCGTCTCTAAGCATTTTGTGGTCTGCAGATATTGCACTTCGATGCGCACATCGATGGAATCTCTCACAAAGAACAACGACTTTTCATAATTTATCCGGAGATAAGTTTGGATAAGCCGGTCTACTTAATGCGGTGGCGAGCATATCAATGGGTTGAAGCCTTGCCGCATATATTGACGCCTTCATCGACAGAATGTTGTCAGTCCGTCAGTATGAACGGGATTTCTGGTCGTCCAAGCGCTCGGTAATTCATAATTAATTGTCTTTGTGGGCTGTCTGATCAAGACAAATTATCTCGCCGCTAACACAATTTTTAGATAAAACACATCCTCGACAAGGATGCTCGCAGCATAAGTTACCAACGACAATTTTGTTTAAAACGAGATCAAACTTCCAAAAAATATTTGACAAAACTTTGATAATCAAATTGGATATATACACTGCTGGCCATCCACAGATGGATGGTCATACGGAACGCGTCAATCGTGCCGTAAAGGATGATTTCCGAACTACATAATCGGAGTGACCGCTGCTCAAGAGGAAAACGTATTCACTTTTGTAGAAATATGTACTTTTTTAATAATGCAGAACATGTCTTCACAATTCTGCTAGGTTTTATCCGTACCGTAATCCTTTGGCACCGCCTCGGAGTGACTTTAGTCTAAAGTTTGTCGATGTGATTTAAATCGCTACCGTAATATAATTACATATTTTAGTTTATCAGATTAACCGTAATGCGCCAAGCGTGCGACATAAGAAAATGAGCCGAAATATACAAAAGCAACATGACGATGTCAGAGATAGATTGTTCCCTCATGAAAAGCGAGTGACTCGAACGGATTTCTAAGCCGCGTTAGCTTACGCACGCACGGAATGTATGCAGTCAAGTTGCTGCATTGAGCCGTTTAGAGTCGTAGTCAGAAATGAATTGAGCTACTCCACTACTCCATTAACGAGATTTCGAACGCATCATGCGCTCAACGTGGTTCATTGGATCCTTTCCATGATCCCGCGCTCGTGATGTAAAGCCTTCTGTGATTTCAAGAAAACTTAACATCCTCCTACAACTACGCTATCTTTACTTTGAGACAGCATGAAGGGTTTTAGAGGGCATCGGAAGCGTGACTAATTACACACGCGTTGACTACATGAGAAAGTTGCTGTGTCACCATAATCGAGAGAGTGCTCGGGTGTGCTGGCCGCATGATGGTCTTCCTCCAGCGGCACTGGTTGCTGAGCAATAGGTACCCACTTCCTAGTCAAACGGATTGCAAGCCAGCATTTTCACCGTGCCAGTAAAAATTATCTACTAAAAGTGAATGAATACCTTCCCTTCAAGTAAACATAAAAATACATAGGCCCATATCCCTAAGCTCATCCCGACGCCGTTGCCACTTATGACTTGGCGCATCGTCGGCCAGAGAGATCTTCAGGAGAAAAGACAGGGTCATCCACTGCAACGCGCTTTCCTAATGCTAGTTTGATATATGGTCACTCGCTCTTACGTCTGCCATACAAAAATGGACAACAAAGAATAGAGATGACCAGAGTCTGTATAACGGGGTTACACGTACCCTTGTCTAAAGGAGGAGAAGCACAAGATTATGCGGCCGTACAGGTGTGGATTACACAAGTTAGTGTAATCACACAGTGGTGTGGCTACACCGTAACAAGAAGCCACTACGTGACATGATTGCCAGGAGTGATGAATACTACTATATTGGTGAATTTAGCTTAACTTTCTTCAAGCAAAGAGCTTCGACAGCCCCTCTGTAGTCCGCTTCAACGTAGACGTCATGCCCTGTACTTTGCAAGGTCTAGCACTAGACGACGCACTCACCTGACGTCTGTTTTATCGAATGTGAGCTGTAAAGATATCAAGCGACGTGCCTCATTCACCGAGCGCGCATATTACTTACGATTCTTTCAATATTTTTGAGCTTAGTACCAAATGTTGGATTCACAGAAAATTACAAATTTGCGTAATCGCTGTCACTGTAGACGCAAGCGTTCCTCTTGAGATCGATTGACCTGCGGGGTCGAATTTCGCGCTCGAGTATACGTTTTGAAGACTTTGTTCGTGCAGAAAGTCTACATGCTTTGGAGAGTTAGAGTTAGATTGCGTCGCAGCCAGTGACTTCCGATGGCACGAAGCACGACGTGGTTTAGGCTGCAAAAAGTGTTGGTTGCGCTTTCATGCGGGTGAGCTTCGCTCAATGATCCAGGTCTGGCTAATTAGTGATGAGCCATGTCTCGTCGTGAAATTCGCGGCACGGTATTGGGATAGGTTCCGCAACAGAGAAAAGGTACGAAGCGCGCGAACTAGCAGACACAAATCGAGGCAAAAGGAGCTCATCTTCTTCAGTAAGCAGTACTTCAATACCTTTCTCAGTGAAGACGAAGATGGCGGTTGGGGCTTGAAGAGTCACTAAGACCGCTTTGATCGAGGAAATACTCACGGTTCTTTAAGATATAACTTTTACGTCGTCGACCAAGGACCGCTCCTCTCTCAAGAGCTCTTCATGCCATGATAGTTCGCTCCTCCGATGCGGATGATGCTCAGAAGAGAAGATACCAGTGCAATCTGAGAGCAGTGCGTGCTCGTTGAGCGTCTACATTTGCACAATGTATCACAATGACAACATAAGTATGAGACTCTTGGTTGTCCACAACTTTGTATGGGGTAACAGTGTAAGTCCTGAATTATGGTGTACGTAGAGAATACACTTTTGTTCAAGCTCAGAAAAACCACTTATCCATGTCTCCGATGTGTGGTTACAATTATATGCTTCCTTTATTACTTCTAGATGACACACACTGTGCGTCACGTCAGAAGAATTTTTGGTGCTATCCACAAATTCTTCCATCTGGCATCACACTTGGCCGATTGCTGTATCAGTAACCCATTTATGGTCAACACCAAAAGACATCCACAATGAGGCAGAGAAGCTACACCTTACCTCCCTTTATATAATATCAATTAATAAGGTATCACAATTTCTATTCCATAAAGCAGCCGCGTAGAAAGTTATAGAGCAAAAAGAAGTAAAATGCAAGTTGCTCTAAAAATTTATGCAGGAACTTCTACCGTTTCCAATTAATAAAAAAAATCCTGTACAAGAACAATGGCTTCTTTAACTATTAATTCATGGGATTCTCAGAGGACCAACTGCTTGAATATCGTCACATCGTTCAAAAGCGACTAATGGACTCACAACCAGAAGAGCAGCCTTTGAAACACATATAGTGTCCTAAGTTATGGGGTGCAGCCAGTCCAAATCCATCGACGTTGAAATTCCAGTCGCTACTGTCAGTGTGAAGACTACAGAGTCAAAAGCTGTAGTCAATGAAGAACCCAAAGTTTCTGAGAATCAACTGAAAATGGAGGAAGAAGATCATCTGGATGAAGCACCAAAAACGCTTGAGCCTGTCTCACTTGGAAGAAACAAAATGACGCCTGCTACAAAGGAACAGACACCCAATTCGTCCGCTGTCGACGTTCCCGATAGTGTACGCGCCAACTTTTCATCATTCAGTATTTCATTTATTGATCCGACGGTGAGTGCACCAACAAGTGTCTCGACAGAGCCCAATGTGGCGTCCATGAGGGTGGCAGTGATCTCTGAAACGGAGTCGATATTTGACACTCAATCTGCATCAATGGAAGTGAAGAACGTCGAATCAAAAGAGAATGTGGAAAAGTCTAGTGTTGATGAAATTGCTGTCGACAGTGTCATTTTTGAGCCGATTGTTGAAAAGGATGTCGAGGTAGAAATGGATGTGGAGAAGACTGTTGAACTTAATGTTGAAAAGATTGATGAGTCGGAGGTGAAGGAGAATTTCACCGAGAAAGTCGAAGAGACTGACGCTGTTGAAGAAAAGATTGCAAACGAAATTGTTGAAAGTATATGCGAGAATGAATCCATGAAGACTGAAGATGTTAATATCCCACCTATCGTTGTGGAGGATGAATCAGCTTTGAAGGTGAATGAGGTTGTCGACGCGATTAAAGAGGAAACAGCGACGAGCGAGCCATGCAATTATATCTTAAAAGCTGAGGATTCCGATCTGGTGACAACTGAGGTGGCTGAGAAGCCAGCGCCAAATAATGGCGAGGATGTCACGATGGTGAAGGCTTCTGCTGCATTGGATTTCGTTGAAGACGTTGGAGAGGAGGCGGCGGTCGACGTAGAGACTGATTCCATTCCTACTGACATTATCGCAGTAGAAGAAAATGCTGTTACGATCGAAGAGAGTGCGGAGAATGCTAATTCTTTTGTGAACGAGGCTGTTGAGCAATCAGCTGAAAAAGAGATTGTTGAACAAATCATTGCGGCGATTGTGAAAGAGCAGGTCGACGCGGCTATTTTGAAGGCAACAGAACAACATCTTAACGTGAAGACTGTTGTGGCCGTGGAAAAGACTGAGCTCAAAGTGGAACAGGCAGAGAAGGAGGCAATTGTTGACGATAAAAGTGAGCAGGTCGGGAGTGCAGAGAATAAAGACTTAGCCGAACTCACACTTGTTGAGCAGAAGGATTCGGACATCGATGAAGAAATCACTGAGTCGATTGCAGAATCTTTGAAGGAGGCTATTTCCACTGACAACCATACCGAAGTGGCAACGGTGTCGACTTCTACGGAAGAAAACGAATCTGATTGTAGCACATTGTCGGGAGACGAGGCTGAGATAAAGCAACGTCACGATGCTGAAGTATCTACGATTCTAAGCGTTGTAAATACAAAGAAATCGATGGAGCGGGAGGAAAAGGAGATTGCGGCTAGTATCACACCAACGACGTCGAACGAAATCTGAACCAAAGTTAGCGACCAAGTGTACGATGGAAGTATTCTGTATGACTAATTGATACTGGACTCGATGCTGTAAAAAAGTTGTAGCAATCGTAGCTTGTGCATAAATACATCAATGTTTGTTTGCCGTATTCGTCGGTGGCATTCCTACTGTTTGAAATGATGCGTTGTCCATCACGCCATATCCTTTAGCTCAAAAGTTAGAAACTTCTTACTGTGCAGTCGATTCGCCAGTTTGTGGCCAAATGCACTGGCTGGCGTGTAGAAGCCGCCTTGCAACGAAATTGATTCGTTAAACTCGCTCTTGGCCAAACAGAACGCGCACTCCGATATTAAACGTGACGTAAGACGGTATCCCGGATCGCCTGAACCAACTGTTTTGGCTTTCACGACGAGCTTACCATCATTACTATAACCCACCGCTTGAGCCACAAAGTAGCCTTGAAGCATGGTTTCTTCAGACGGACCCTGACCAGGAGCTGGTGATAATCGTTTAAGAAGTGCACGGGTCCAACCAAAGTACAATAAAATACCCATAAAGACTGTTCCAATAGTGGTAAGCAGCTGAATAAACAAACCACCAATGGCCATTCGCTCATGGTACACAAAAGTGTCGCCGTACTTGTTCTGGAGTAAATAATTACTGCGATGTACAATTGCCTGGTTTACAGTGCCCCCAATAAACCACGAGTGCCACAGTCCTACAATTTTGTCGTAATGCACGCCAATGCCACTCGTATTGGGCGCTACTAGTCCCATCTGCTGCTTCTTTAATATCGTCGTCTCGTCCGTCAAAAAATAAGGATTGCGCGAAGCCAGCAGTTGCTTATTAGTTGACATTTCCATTATAGCAAACACAGAAGCCATCGTTCCACCACTTGCTTCACCCTTAATGTCCGTAAAGTACAAGTCAATTGTACTTGTTATCGTTTTGTACTTTTGCTGGATACGATCAGCTACGAGGAACGTCGTAAGGTCCGACGGAATACTCTCAAAACCACAACAGTTTACCAATATAGCGCCTGACTTTGCTGCAACGGCTGCGTACTTTATCGTCATCTCTTTAATCCATATGATCTCTCCAGTCAGGTCGCAGTAGTGTACTCCATACTCAGCGCATGCTTTCACTAGTAGCTCACCATAAAGTTTGTAAGGGCCCACAAGGGACATAACTACTTTTGTCGACTGCACCATCGACGCAAGAGACTTCTCATCGCCACTATCAGCTACAATAATGGGAATTTCATCAATTAAACTTGGTGCGATCTCCGACAACTTTTCCTTAAGCAGCTCTTTCAGCTGCATCATCTTGACCTTATTACGACCAGCTATAGCCCATTTAAAGCCCCCAGGATTGCCAAATGAAGACTCGCTTTCGGTTATCAAGTAGCGAGCTACTAACGACCCCGTGAAGCCTGTTGCGCCATATACAATAATGTCAAAGCGGGAGCTCATCGTGATACGTATGATATTGTAATGATCTGTACGTTGAAATTTTACCAATAGTGTGTTCTCACTGAAAATTTGCATTTTAAGCTTAAAAATTTGTTAAGAAATTAATTTTTGTGTTCTTCCTCTTCCATTCATCTTTCAAGAATGGGACGTAAACAAGCTCCGTCTAGATGCAATCGCGGCGCCAAACGTCAGGACACCGTGAATCAAGCTTTACGTGGTAGTAAAAGCCACGTCGGCCAGCAAAATCAAACATCTTCAAAGAACTTTGTCGACAAGCAGAAGCTTCAGAATAAACGCAAACAGCTCCGTAATCAATTAGTTGGACGCCATCGTGGTGTTGTCTCCGGTCTGAGTCTAACAGACTTAGCGAATCGTGCCACTCAAAGCTCACAAGAATTTGATCTCAATCAAAATAAAACGCAGCAAACTTCAGTGCAAGACGAACTCGTCATTAATGACGCAAGTCGACGTGCTTACATGAAAGAGCTTCGCAAGGTTGTTGACAAAGCCGACGTTATCTTAGAGGTGCTCGATGCCCGCGATCCCATGGGTTGTCGTACGCTTGATATGGAAGACACAATTGGAAATCGTTACGGTAAGAAACTGGTACTAGTTCTCAATAAGGTTGATCTAGTGCCTCCGCACGTACTGCAGCCGTGGCTCAAATACTTGCGGGGCTATTACCCAACAGTAGCTTTTAAGGCCTCGACTCAAAATCAGTCAAAGCATCTTAGCGCTACATTTGGACGAGCCGACAAAGCAGCGGTGGACGCTGTGAGTGGTAGCAAAGCGGTAGGTACCGACGCACTCATGCAGCTGCTTAAAAATTATTGTCGGAATCATGGTCTTAAAACGGCTATTACTGTTGGAGTGATTGGCTATCCAAATGTGGGCAAAAGTTCTGTTATAAATTCATTGAAACGGAGCAAGGCGGCCAGTGTGTCTAGCATAGCAGGCCACACGAAGGTGATGCAAGAAGTGCATATTGACAGCAAGATTAAACTCTTGGATTGTCCTGGAATTGTATTTGATCACTCGGATTCGAGTGCGCTACTACTTCGAAATTGTATCAACACGGAATTAATGGAGGATCCAATTGGGGCGGTTCAAGTATTGCTTACACGCTGCCAGCCCGTGCAGCTCGCAGAGCTTTACAAGTTGCCGGTTGATACAATATCCAAATGTTTTCAAGATGCCGTCCAGTTTCTTGTCCTTGTGGCACAGTCTAAGGGAAAACTAGGCAAAGGAGGCATTCCTGACCGTCACGCGGCTGCTCGCATTGTATTGCAAGACTGGAATCGTGGTAAGCTACCATACTTTACACCACCACCGGATCAAAGCGTCCAAGTGCTTGACACGCAACTGGTGACGGCTTTTGGACAGGAATTTGATGTCACCGATGAGCAGCTGAATCCTACAAGCATTTTCCTCCCGAACTCGTCTACTCCTTCCGGCGGTAATGGTCCTCAGTGTTCTCTATCTGTGACCAACAGTGGTAGTGGTGACGTACTAATGGGATCAGAGACACCAGCAAGCGCGCCATCGATTGCTTCCGTTCGTATTAACCGCTTGCTGGACAGCGATTCCGACTCTGATTCCGTCATGTCGGATTTGGTCGACGATAGCGCCGACATTGGTGAATGGAGGCTGCCTCCTAGCACTTTGTCGACCCAAGAGCTGGCAGTCAAGCTCGCACAGGATGCTTTGAACCCACAAACGGCTATGGCGGCTCGACGAAAGGCCAAGCAGTGGCGCAAACTAAAGAGACGTGCAGCTCGACAGCAACTTGGAACAGAAGCCGAATCATCAATCAGTGAACAGTTTGGCAGTATGATGGGTATTGCAGCGCCTACACCTGCGATTTCTTACACGACACAATAGACTGGTTGGGTGAATACAGGTATTTTTGCTTGTTATCCGATCAGATTATTATGGTCTATTATTTATTGCCAAGGAGCTAGAATGACATTAAGCATCGGTGGACAAATATTCATTGCTTAGCTGTCCTCTCTAGCTATTGGGAACTTTTACGAAATTGACGAGGCGAAGGCACTTTGTGGCGTTTATCTCATATTCGATGATGTGATGCATTACTGTGTCCCTCTGTTTCTTAGTATAGACGACAGCGGCTGCCGCAACAGCCATGACGGCAAACGCGGCTGCGGCCAAAGTTGCAATAAAGCCTTCTCCAAATCGTCCCTGCGTTGAATGACAGCTGTTTGGTTGACATGCTTTAAACAGCGCCAGTTTCGTCTCTCCCTTGACTTCATTGTCTTTTAACTTCGAACTGATGTCTCCGTACGTCATCAGTGATGGAGCCAGACTTTGGTACAGTCTCGTTTGTTGTCGGAATGTGCGTAGTCGTTGCTGTCACGTAAACAAGGGTTTGAGCTCCAGAGCAATTGTGGTAGCTGCAGACGTAGGCTATGAAAGCAGCTGCAATAGTGGATTGCGTCGGTGCGGGTGTTGCATTTGAACAAGTCGCGTAGCTCGGTGGTCTGTACAAACCAGCTCTGATTAGTATCTCCGTTGCTGTCAAAAGGTCTGCGATCATTCACGTCTCCAGTGTCGCTTCTGTTGTAGATCCACGGGAAGGCTGTAGGTGGCATCATTGCAGGCGCTAATCTCCACGGTTGCGCTGGTTAGGTCGACTTTGTAACGCGATAAACAATGAATAGTCATGCCTAGCAATTTGTCCTGGCTTTCAAAATGGTTCGCTTAGTCAAGGAACTTGTCTTTTTCAAGACTGCAGCAACTCACATCAATGTACCGGCTAAGAAATTCTACAGCGTCGTACACTCTTACATCGTTTCTCTCGAATATCGAATGATGCAAGCAGATCTCCTTTAGTAATGCAAATAATTTAACTATCTAATTGAGGAAGAGTATCTAAAGTATCATCCAACATGGCGACGAATATAATTTATCACTTTACCAGCACAAAGATATCAAATGAATGCAAGATCAGATACAGGGATCCACTGATCCAGAATTAATTTTGGATGACAATTTTCAAGCCTCTTAATCTGGTATGTCATGTGTTTTCTGATATGCTCTGATATTTTTTCGATATCGACACCTAAAACTTTTCGCTTATGGGTTGCCCCTCTTCTGGCATTTGTGGGCTCATACAGGCCATTGCACATCGTCTATGACACTTCGGCCGTTGTCCTATACCGTGCTTTACCTCAAGATGATGCTATAGACAGAAATGCGTTATTGCATTTAAGTTTTGCAGGCTGAAAGCTGTAAAGGAGGATGCAACGGGGTTTAGGAACGTATCGAATAGACTTGGCATAAGAAACAACCTTGGCTGAAAAGTCCTAGACATAGACTCAATCGGAGAAATCGGATGCGATAGAATCGAATTGCTCTTCAGGTGAGTACAGTACAGTAATTAAAAAAATGACTGCAGGAGTTGAGGATCTGCGCGCCGATCAAAGTTTTAAACACGGCTGGATTACTGAACTTTTCTAAGTATTGCATTGATGCCAGAATGGGCAACGAAGTTATGTCAGCACGGCACTGGACGACAATTATCCTCGGAAGTAAAGTGCAAACTCATAAAGACTCAAGGTGGAGAGATCGTTTCGTGACAACATTTGATGCAACACTTCCGAAATGTGCGCAAGTCACCGGCATTATATAGGCTGTAGTATCCATCGCCAAACACACTGCGATGCTGTCGCTGAGAATTTATTAAAGTTGCTTTATGAGCCGAATCGGTCGACTAAACTTTAGTTTGGTATACCCTTCATCAGCCTTGATACGTCACATGGTTGTCGACAAGCTGCCGCTCACAACAAGCAAAAATACTGGAATTATGTTTCTGACTCTCACTTGAGAGAAGTGGCCATTGAGATGATAGCCTCTACTGAAGAGCATTGCATGACAAAAATACAGAACAAGTTTGTGTGGAGCAAACACTCTACACCTTGCAATAGACAGGATACTGTCCAAAATAACATACTTTACTTAAAGAAAGATGCCCTGCAAACAAGGCGGAAATGAGAATTGTTGGTGAGATGGTTGTGGAAGAAGTCGTTACTCATAATATTGTTAGCCTTGTCGAGAAAGAGCCAGCGAAAGTGGAAAATGTCGTGGAGAGGCCGATCGCCGTACGCAATAGACAAAGCAGATGATCATCGATCCGGTTGCTGCGGCTGTTGAGAAGATGACTACAAGGCGAATACACTTGTGGATATAAACTGGGAAGTAATCATGAAGAAGATTATCAAAATACGACCTGTCGGCGATCGAAGAGCTGATAACATTGATGTTTCATAGCTTGAAATAGCTCGCCACAAAAGGGCTGTTTGGTCGACAATTTGCGAGCGAGAAACTAGAACAGGTGTAGGTGTGGTCACCTCAAAAAAAGAGCTCGCAGGGGCTAAAGAACTCGCGCTTACCAGTAAATATTTCATCAAGGTTGTTTGTGTATTCGTCAATGCTGTGTAAAGTGACATTGCTGCTTATACCAATCTTGGCAAAGGAAGCGCTGATTCAGGACACTGGTGCTTTATGAACGACATTGCTAACAATGAAATTGCAGCGGGGACAGCTGTCGTCGCCATGCTCGAGAAATTTGATCCATTGTCGAAATGCACCGTGGAATTGTAAAAAAGTTGTCATGACGAGTATTGAAATTTTTGTGTAGACGGCACAGAAGATATTCCGAGCGTTAGATTCTGTGTCAAAAAAGCTACAAGTCGACAATTAAGCTGAAGAACAATGCCGCATCTGTAAATGAACGTGTTACGAAGCACGCAGCTGAGACGTGTACCCGTACAACGATAGACGAGGATGAGTTCACACAAAAACTGGTCTTTAATGATTTGGTTGACGCTAGAGAGAAAGTTTTTGCAGTTAGTCGCCAAGATACCTTGTAAATGGTAATGATGGAGCATGAAGCGGAAACGAGGCCAACGACGACAAACGTGCTAACTGAGTGGGTTGCACCTGGAAAGTTAAAAGAAGTGAACAGCTCGGTCGAAACCGACAGTTTAGCAGACGTGAAGCCGGAAGCTGAGGCTGTTATGGAGGCAATGCTTACGAGTATCGCTGGAGATGCTGACAAGCATTCGGAGATTAAAACCACTGAGAAAGCTGCTCCGGGACTTGTCGCAGTCGATGTTGACGCAACCAATGACGTTAAGGAAATCACATTGGGTTTTGACGACGGTGCAATGGAAAAAGTCATAACGATGTCTGAGATTAAGCCTGTGTCTGCCGTGTACATGGCAGAATCTGTTGAACAAATGATATTGGAAACATCCTCTGACCTCAAGTCTGGCCAAGTGGAATCGATTGAAGCGTTGGGAGATGTCAAAGTCGAAAATGTTGAGGTGGACAAAGAAGGAAATACAATCGATGCAATTGCTACAAAGGATACAGTCGACGGGTGTGTGACTGATAGCGTGATTGAGACTACTAAAGTTGAAGCCGCTATCGATACTGGGAGAGAGATGGCACATGACATTGTCACCGAAGAAATCGGTAGCAAACTTGTTCTATCGCAACCTAGAGCCATCGACGACGAAGCAGTGATGTTTACCATTGACATTGACACTAGACATTCAATTGTAAATGTTGCGAAAGAAGAAGGCGCTGATCATGGCGATGGAAATGCCGCAGAGACAGAATTTCAGCCTAAGGGAGAGAGTGAAGTCGTTGCGTGTGGAATGGTAAGCGCTATGCCTGAGATCGTCGACTTTGAGGCTACAGAGACCATCCTAACTCTTGTAAGTGAGCCCATTTCCAAAGCTATTGACAACCAGGCTACCGTAACGGAACTTCAGGATGAACCGACAGACGAAGAAATCAACCAGGTTATATCAAGTGTCGATGAGACAAAAGTATCTGGCCTAGGCACAAGCAGGTTGTCTACAGACAATGATGATCTTCTTTCAAAAAGCGAGAGCGATACGAAGGAGACCTCACAGCTAGATGAAACGTTTCAGGTTGAAACAGATCCTATCAATCCTGTCGCTACATTGATTAAACGCTACGAACAGATCGCCAGACGCAAAGCAAACAAATTTGCACAGCCGCGTCATTATTCTCAAACTTCTCTGGTATCACCGCAATCGTCGTCACCTCCGTCTTCTTTGAATGTTTTTGAGGCAACAGCGAAGCGGAATGAGGAAATCGAAATGGCTAAAATGTTCAACGAAGAGAAAATATGTGAGCCAGACACATATAAAACAAACGAAAAAAGAGTGATGAACCCCGAAGATGTGGTAGACAACGCCTTACAAGGTGAGACTACGTTTGATATTGCTATTGCTGAAGAGGCTTTTATAGCAGTCCAAGACATGACGCAGGATACAAATTCAGTTGATATTTGCAATCTATCCATCGGAGATGAAAGTTTCGCTTCTGCAGGAAATATACCTGGAGGTGCTACAGACGAGAGAAGCTCATTCGAGGAATCATCTGTGGTTGAGCCTGTATTGGCGGGTACCGAAACAAGTACAGAGGAGCGGCCTGTGGAAACTACTACAGATGTTCAAGAAGAAGCAGCTATAAATGAGCTAGACAAGAGAGTCGAGGGGATGTCTGAAGACGAAAACGCACTTGGTAATGCAACTGAAAGTGTGGAGAATTTTTCTGATGATGATGGTATTAAAACGACAACGACTTTATTTGAGACTACCATTTCTTGCGATTTAACAGACAATCAACAGAGCAACCATGAGGCAAGCACGTGTAGTTCAGATGATCATTATACGACTGAAGTAGTTAGTGCCGACTTCAGCACCAACGAGACACTGAACGAGAGTGTGATCTCAACTCAACCTCAAGAGAGCTTGAAAAATCTCGGCACTTCTAAACAGTCCAGAGATATGCCAGCAGAAGTCCCTCAGAATGATTTTGTTAAGCCAGATATATATACCATGGCAAACATGGAAATGTCACCAACAACGAAAGGAGAGGCCAGAGATGTCATATTAGCAACAGACACGTCAGAAAATGACTCGAGCCAGCAATCACTTCCTCCTGTGCTTGTGACGTATGAGATTCTTGGTGTTACGCGAGTCAACAACGTCATCATGTATCACATTTATTCTGTCAATACTGCAACAAACGAGCGAGTTCCTGTAAGCTCGAAGCGATATTCCGAGTTCAAATTACTAGTCGAACAGCTACGATTTTTAAATACTCCAGAGGCTTACGATTTGCCAGAGTTGCCTAAGCCCAACATAATCACCTTCTTGCGAGGACGTCGTAATCAGACAACTATTGAACAGCGCGAGAAAGCATTTGCAGATATTCTTTGCTATATTTCAAAGCATCCAGAACTTCATACCAGTGCTATATTTCAAAGTTTTATAGCGAAATAAATATAGAACAGATTTAGGTTTTCTAATCTTAAATACATATCCTCATTGGGACTTTCTCGTACGCTTTTAGACAAGCCTTAAAGAAGCTCCACCAATCATATAACTCAATGTACCCATCACAACAAAAAATCATGCCGCAGATCCCGCAGAGATCATTTTTGAGACCTATTACTTCGTTATCTCGCATTTTGGGAATATGACATTAATAACAGTCTCGCTATTGACGACACTCTATGTGTCTTCCGCAGCTGCCATACAAGTAAGTGTGTGCCACGATGCAACGTATGATATTTCAGTGGATGCCACTTCACTATGTTCAGGCTCAGGCGCAGCTCCTGCGGGTAAGAGCTGTCCTAAAGCGGGAGATGTGGCCGTGGCTGACTGTCTCTCCACTCTTCCATCTTATGGAAGCGAAAGATGCGTGGCACCTGAAGATGCTGTGTGTCAAGTGGTGAAAGGAGATACATGGGGCTGTGTATTGCCTTCAGTGGGTTGCAATCTTACATTAGTCGAAATTGAGAATGCTTGTGAGACGTGGGATTATAACGGCGATGACAAGGTGATTAGCATCGGGTCGTTTAATGATCAAGAAGACTACGATCAGAGTTGGTTCGTTCCAACGATAAAACTGAGAGAAATTGAGGGCTGTGGCAAGAAGCCTACGCCCGCTCCAACGACACCAGCGCCCACGCCAGCCGCTACAAAATTTAACGCAACGACGCCTGCGTAATAAC